CATTAAGTCTAACATGGAACCCCTTCTTGCATAAAGAAACTGATTCACTTCGTTGGACCTCCTTCCCTCCTAGTCTTGTTATGCCAAATCCTCACCTTCGCTATGTCCCCATCTCCATCACTTCAATCCAAGTTCTGCCCCAGAACTGCCAGAAGAGCGTCCCTTGAGCAACATGAACCGGCTGACGCTCAAGTGTTTCATGGTTTCATTCATTGATGCTCATCAGCTTGAACACACGGACAATAACCATGACGATCCGGGAGCGCTTGTCGCGGATTAGCGTTAGAAATCAGCATGGTGACACATCTCTCACAATGAGGGTAGCGACTCCAACGCGAAGACCGTAACGCGACCGATGGAGATGTGAATCACCTGAGCTTTTGAGATCTTACGACAAAGAAATGATTACATTTGTCCCAAGACGGCAATATCCCACCAAAAGCACAGCTGCCGCCACATTCAAATGAAATACGCAGCCATGGCCTGAAGTGTATGAAACGAACATTTAACAAGGAAATCAGAATCGATGTAAGAGGAAACAATTTACCCTACACAGATACAAGGAGATGATAAAAAGCAATGACTGAGATATCAACGGAAAAATAACAGAGTCAAGCATGGTGGCGAAAAATCGTTTTTCAAGTACACCCTCCCCCTCCCTTCTACGACACCCGTTGACCAAGAAATTTTCTTTCATTTCACCGAAACACCAACGTCAACAGGAGGGAGTAATTCGGGGGTGACAATACACCACAACGCCACAATCAGTAAGACTAGAACCCTTCAAGCCCCTGCAGAAAGAGGAAGATTCCCAGACCGACTGCGGGTTCCACGACACATGTCTGACCCTGGTAAAAAGCTAAAACTGGTCATAATCAAGCAATCTAGTCAAGCAATCTAAAACTTATCAAGTGCCTAACATCAGAATGGACGGTACGCCGAACGATTTCTCACCAAACGATCGTTCTTTAAACGAACCGCAATATGGATCCAACCCAGCTTCTCACAAATCTAAAAAAAACCACAGTAATGACTTCAAACCAGAACTGACTCAGCATGACAATAGATCTCTTTGTTCAAAGTGAAGCGGCCTAAAGACCATTTCGTTTGGGTGTGCATTGAGGACAGATCAAAACTTTGCACTCAACGGCTACATTGCAACTACTGTTAAAAGAAAAGTAGAAATTAGGATAACCAGCTGTAAAAAGTGAGCCAACTAAGGTAAGCTGAAGCTCAAGTATCCCACCGTCACATAACGCGAAAGGTTTTAGCGCTCAAGTAAGAGCAAAGTTTTGAGCCAGTAGAGGGGTAAGTGCATCGTATAATCAGCAGTTGACAACCTTGTCATCTGTGTTCCCGTAGACCAGCGAGTTAAGCTGGCGTCAGTAACTATTTCATTCGTCACTGCAACGCGCAAGAGTCACGCAAGAGGTTTGCGATGCTCCAGAAACACGGTGAACATCATTTCACTCGCTCAGACAGTCCACGGCGAAGCCTGACTATCAGTTTGACGGTCATCTAGGTTCATTTGACATCCCCTGGAATCCAGACGGTTACCGCTTTGGCTTGACAGTCATCATCGCTACGCGTTCCATCTTAGTCGATGTACCCGTTTTTGTTTTTACTAAATCCGAAACATTGGCGAATGAGATATAACCTTGATCTCCTGTAGTAGATGTACTCCTACAGCACCTGCGTGAAGCACAATACCGTAAGCACCGCTCTTTTGATGGCGCGTTGAATTACGCTGATCGCAATATGGTCATGCCTGCGTAAAGTACAAGCTTCTGAGATGTACAGCCCTTATGTCATTCAATCCTGTTCCTTCTATTCAACTGCTAACAATTCGTTCACAACTACCGACAGCTATGATGCTCATATGAATAGAACATGCCGCAAAAACGTAAGTCCGCAGAGCAGAGCAATACTTGATATGAAGTACAAGCACTACAGTTCACTGTCGTCCTCAAGTGAACGAAACATCGAACATCATTGGAAGTTCAAGTAGATGAGACCCTCCACTCACCAGGCCATTCAGACGCTACTGTATCTCCTGCCATGCATCAAATAAATGTGCAGTCGTACCAAGCTTTCCAGCAAAGACCACGTCAAATTAAGCACGAAACCTAAACGACCCGCATCGCCCACTAGGGACGCCACCATTCCACCGCTAGTGTTAGACACCATTTTCTCGAGTAGGGAAACAGTGAAGGCTGGTGACCTTGGCCCAAACTGGACAACTCGTAGCGCAGACCGCTTTATTAAGGCGTTCTGCTGGTTTACCTGTTGCAGAGACTTGTAAGCTTTTGCGAAGCTATGCGATAACAAAGGCAAGAGCCTACAGGTTCCCCCAAGGTGAGACGTGTAAGATAACAGGAACAACAATGCACAACACAAGTATGTGGAGCGCCGAAAAGTATTTTTAAGAGTCGACTGGAAGTTTCCTTAACGATTTCCGATAGTAGATCACTTACAATAACCCACTTTGAGAAGTTACTGCTTTACCTTGTCGAAATTTGGGGCACTCGAGGCGAATCACAACTCAAGGGGCTACCAACATTATCGCTTCTCGTTGATCTTCGCCCTAACCACTCCATTATCCTACTATAATAATCCGCTGTGAGTGTGTGTCCGTCTGTATGTCATCACGAAATTCATAGCGCCGGTCCCAGTAGCAGTGAGACATTGGTTCCAAGAAGTGATGTAGGGGTGTGACGGGAACACTATTGGTGGGTGATAGGTGATATCTGCTGATAAGATCCGCTGATGTGAAAGTGAAGAGATAGACAGACTTTCTTCACATAAAGAGCCTCTCTTACTCGGCATTATAGCGGTAAGAAGTGATAAAAATGTAGCGCAGATGGTATCTTATCTGTTTTTATCGATTGATAAGATTACCTGTCACCCGTCATCAATGTCCTCATCACTAAATCTCTATGATTTGGTAGCGTGAACCACCTTGAACAGCGACTGCAACGTCCCTTATCAGCCCCTATCAGTAGTTATCGCTTCTAGTCACCCACGGTTGATGTCCCCATCTCACCCTCTATATCACTTGCTGAAACGTACGCCTCGCTGATGCTGTGACCTGCGCTGTGAATACGATGACCTCACCTTTCTAACGCCCCTTATCGAATCTTATCAGCAGCTTACAGTTCTTGTCACCCAATAATGTTCTTGGCCCATACCCTATATCATATCTTGGAATCAAGAGCTAGCTGATGCTGTCACCCGCGTTATGATTATGGTAACCTTCTTCTTCTACGCCACTTATCACACCCTGTCACCCACCAATAGTGCGGTGCTATGAATTTCATGAGAAACAGACACAGACAGATAGACACGCACACACACATACATGCATACATACACTAATTAACAACTATCGATCTACAATATATTCACCCTTTGTATCTATCCCCTTCCACCACCATGTAGGCAAGGACTCAATCCCACTTTAAGAAACAGCTAGGCTCTGAGCCGACATATCGTTCTTGGTCGCTCCTTAGATCATTTCTGTTGCTGAAGCTACGTCCTTGAAGTGAATTTACTGAGGCGCGGAAAAGGGATAATCTGCGAGACGGGCAAGAGAATCGTGATTTACCGCTCGAGAGGCGTTTTCTTAACTCGTGTTAACCTGTCGATTGGAGCACCGGACTTCATGTAGACCCCGTCATCGTAGACATTCATGACTATTTTCGGTTCTGAATTGCCTGTTGTCGCCATCTACTACCTGGAACCATCGTCATTTGCGGGCGCGACGTCGCACGCGACGCCCACCAGCGCGATGAATTACGATTCTCTTGTAACATACCCGGATAATCCATACGCAAAATATCCGGACCACACGATGGGTAGATAAGAACTTCAACCCCTGAAGAATGCATATGAATACGCGTCGATTTAGCCGTATATGGCTTCTCATTGTCATGCAACAATAGGATTCGTCCATCTCCCGACCGCAAAACTGCAGGTTTTCGCACCACCTCTCTAAGCTGGGCGATGACGATTCCTTTACGGTGATGTTGGCACTCTTCTAAAGAAGTTCCCACTGAATGACACCCAGCCGGTCCCACCAAATCGACAGCAACACCTTCAGTGGGTAGAGGCTCTGTTTTACGTCTTTTTGTCTTTTTTACCTGACTGTTATCCTCTTGTGGTTGACGTGGCATCACCAATTCCCATCTCCCGCAAACACATTAGCCAGTCAATCGGAACGACGGCTAAGAAAAAGAAGACTCAGTGCAACGCCACATCTGATTGAGTGCTGCTGCACGCCGCGCGATGCTGTCGTACGGTACGACTTGCCCAAACTTTGGTGTTTTAAATCTGGCGTAGATGACGATCACCTGCTTCTAGAAGCGTCAACATTTGCTGCTATCTCCCGCATGGTCTGACGAGGATTCCCTTCCACTGAGCACTGTATAGGCAGTATTCGTCGTCATCGGTCAACCACAACGATCAGAGTATTGAAGACTGTAGCTCTTCTAGGACCATCGGCAGAACCACTTCAAAGCCGTACTTCGTGCAAAGACGTGTGGCCCTACTACTGAGCACAAGTTTTCGGTTGTCTTCGACATTTTTCTTCCCTTGGAGGTACTCATAAAGACAGGCACGAAGAGCATGTTGGTCTTCAGCAAAATACACGGCCAAAGTAGGCGGTGAAGAGAAGTGAATGCCACATGGCGAAAGTTCATAAGGTGCTCTGCTCATATACATTTCATGGAAAACTTCGGAAGCAGACAAATAAAATTATATTAATTTTTGAAGAATGTCACGAACTCATAAAACAACCTAGTAGATACCTTTGTTGTTACCTCCACATAAGAAAAACGAAAACAAAAAAAAACAGCATGCAACTGCCAAAAACATGAGGAGCCACTAATGTTTGACAGAAGATTCTAGAGACTCGAGAGAATCCCTAGAGTTTCTGCTTCCCTCTAAACATTTCGGTGTTTGGTACATTCTCCAGCGACTGAGCCCGCCACTGCTGCTCTGAACTAGCTATCATTAGAGGACATGTACTCTGAAGGATGCATTAACCTCTGAAATCATGTTTTCGTAAGGGTAGCTAGTTCAAAGGAGCTTGGACGGACCCCGTCGCGAACGTGAGAACGAGAATGAGAACGTGCTAAGTGTCAAAGGTGCTAAGAAAAATGCAGATTGCAAAAACGTCCACGAGTGTTTCGAGTCTTCAGAGCCTTTTGCAGCAGTTTCAATGCCTCTTGATGTTTTTCGAATATTTGGTTCCAAGTGAGGAACTGAGGCCGCACAATACATAGAAAAAAGTCCCGAAATGAAAGGGAAGGAATACCTCGATGATAGCTCCTTCAAGAGTTGAAGCATCCTTGCCATTGCTTCTCATGTCGTCGACGACCTTTTGCAGAGTGACTGCTGCTTTTCCAAAATGATCACAAGCAACGGAATACTTCGCAACTAATGGCATCACCTTTAATAGCAAAATTCAGAGCGTGGTTACTTTATTAGGGGAGAACAACAGTAAGCGTGATATTACAAATCTGCTTAGCAGTAAGCTTCATTGAATCGAAGAATTGAAGTCTTTCAAGTCACCTTCATGTCATCAGGTGACACCCAGGTAAGGAGATCATGGTACGCTGTCTCAACGTCTTGTAATGTGAAAGTTGCATTGTCCTGCAGTATGCCAATATAACCGCTAATAATGAATAGAACAAAAACACTCACTTCTTCAACTGCAGTAGTAACATCCTCTACCTTCGTATCATCGTCTTCCTTTAATTTCTTCGACTTCTCATCGCCTTGACTCTACAAAATACTCAAAAATTTAAAAGATTACGTACAAGTACTGCTCGAGGGAGCAAGAAGAACCTTTGTCTGTTGGGAAACGCCGAACACTGGTCCCAATGGTTTTCGGAAACAACTAGGACAGTCTTTCTTCTGCTTCAAGAATCCATCAGCGGCACGGTGAGCGCGAGCAAGCAAACAATCGATAACTGCTTCTTTACGTTCTTCCATCTCTCTTTAACACGAAGAGTCATTTGAAACGTTGAATAAGGTAGGAGTTTTTACATTAAGGGTGAATGAATGACTGCGTGCAAACTTGATTTGGTCTCTATAGTTCTCAAAAAATGTCAGTCAAGGGAGTGAGCAGTTAGGGCGGAGGGGGGGGGTGGAGGGAATGGGCATCACGAGTGTGTCATGGGCTGTATCGGCTATGCTGTCTTGCAGCATGTATAATCATAGTTCCACTCTCATGAATCTCACAAAATCCCGTCTTACACGACGTTTTCAAAAATGCCCCATACAAAAAATGTGGTAATTACCAATACCAATTCGCATGCCAACACCAAACTCTAACTTGAAAGAACAATTTTTTTTTCAATTTTTTTTTGAAAATGGTCACTCTGACAATGCAGCAAAATGATAGTTCCACCAAACAAATCGAATAATCCAACAACAAGTGTACAACAAAATGAATAAATTTTGATTCAGTAATCTACTGGAACTCTATTTCTCCGAATAAGTTGGAAAATACGGTTGCCCATGCTCGATTAGAGATTTTCAATAGGCTTTCGGCCGACATGGTGCCATGCATCAATGATTGACTCCCTAAGCTCACGGACATTGTGGAATTGTGCATTGTTCTCATGGATCATACGCACCATGAAGCCCCTCACACTCGATTGGGTTTAAAGACAATTCCCGCGATCAAGTGTTGCGGGTAGTTGGTGCTCCGTCATGAACCAGTATCCCATAGGTAGCTCCTCAGTAGAAAAAGAAGCGAAAAAACCTCGGGAACACCTTAAACACAGACTTCACCTCAGCAGTCTTGGACGAGTACGTCGGGCGCGAAGGACGCGCTCTCCATAGCGATTGGAGCGCAAAGCTTGAGCCGTGGGACCGTGGCGTTAGTGCCAGGCAATTCCTGGCCAAGCGATGCGATATTCGTGTTCGGAGGTTGAAGGTCTGGGAACAAAATTTTCAGTCTTTTTTTTAAAAGCTCGATGGTAAAACTGGTCTGATGTCGGAAGATGGGGTAGTAACAATTGGATAGTGGTCCCATCTAAAAGATCATTAGGTGAGTCTGAAAAACACACTAACTGCTCTTCATTTCTTATCCTCCTCTTGCCATGAGTACAGACGAACTACCTGCTCTTCAGATCACGTCCTTCCCATCGCTTGCAGGGTATGAAACTCAAAAAAGGTTTGCTGCTCTTTTGTTCACATCCTCCTAATTAGAATCGCGCTTGCAAAGAACCATATGGAACCCTAAAACAGCCTAAGCGTCTTCAATTTATGTCCAACGGTGCGAGGTTTGCGCTTAATCGCTATGGAAAGCGCGGATCACCGAAGATGGCAAAGTGCCAGAAGCGCCGCGCGCGACACGTGCCGCGCGGGTGTTGTAGGGATAGAAGCTGCTCGCGAGCCGTTGTCTCGTCCAGCTGCAGTAGCCACTGTTGCCACGCGCAAATGTCTCTAACTTCTTTATCGCGCCGTTTTGAGGGACGAAAGTGGTATGTTCTTTGTGAACGCGTATAACAGTTCAAAAGGCACGGAGTCATTTTGAGGACCACTTGATAGGGGGAAGTGTCTTTAGTCGGGGCTACTCGCTGGCCAGGGCAAAAGAGCGGTTTGGTGACGACTGAATCACGCTCGAGTGCTTCGGCTGACATGAATTGGTGCATTATCTTGCATGAAAACAGGACTTTCTTGCTGATTTCTACGCCAGAAAGCAAGGAGACGTCGTCGCATGACTTTTAGATGACGGAAGAAATCATTTTTTTATACGGAGCACAGTTTCAGACGTTCCATTGATGCGATGGCAGCCCAGACCATGAGACCACATCCACTGAAGTTCCGCCCGGAAAAATGAAACTTGTCTTTCCTCAGGTCGTGCCAGCGGAATCGGTTTTCGTCGGAGCCGTCGCAGTTGAATTTTTTCTCATCAGAAAACACGACCGCGAAAAAAAAACAAGACAGACAAGCAGTAGGGCACCGCAGCCAAAAGCTAACCTCACTCCAGTGGTTTCGGCAACATCTAGCAAAGCCTATTCGGTTTTCACTATGGTTTTCTGTTAGAAACAGTGCCTAACTCATATTCCTCCTGTGGGTGAACTCAGGAGTTTTTCAAGACACGCCTAACAGTATCCTCGAGACATTAACCTCCGAAGATGACTTAATTTCCCGACACGACACTGCAGAGTTGGATGCTTTCCTCAAGATACGGCGCTTATTCCGATCGGGCAGCAAAGGAGGATGTCCAGAGCTCTTCTCAACTCAATATCCTGTAGGTTCCTTGACAAAATTGTTGATAGCATGATGAGTGCGGCCCGAATCCCGCGCGATTCGACGGTTCGACAGTTTTTGAGTCTTTGCGATAATCTGTCCTTTTTCGAGGTCCATTAATGAAGTTCCACTTGCCATAGCCTAGAAAAGGCAAGAAGTCATAATGATGAGAAGTTTTACCTAACAGAAATGAGATGCATGGTATTGGTAATTACCACATTTGTTTGTATGGGGGCATTTTTGAAAACGTCGTGTAAGACGGGATTTTGTGAGATTCATGGGTGGAACTATGATTATGCTTCGCAGTGTATGTCATATTTCTGTTCGCCGTCAAGTAGAAGACTAGCAGACATGGCGTGACATGGTCGCGCCGCCCTCAACTATCTATCGTGGGACGCGGTGCTCCGCCTTTTCTAAGTTCTGGAGGAATCTTATTCTCAAGAATCCACCCTCTATCCTCACCACTCGCTTGGGGCCATTCTTACGTCAACAGACGTTGAAATTAAAATGCAGAAAAAAAATCCTTGATTACTTCTTCAGACTCATTTGTTCGACACTGTGATCTCCGTGGTGAGATCCCATGTATTTCAGCACATCATCAGGACGACAGATCTCAAGTATATGCTGGATGATTAGGGTCATGGTCTCGTCTTCTGTTGCCGAACGCTGAACAAAAACCACTAAGAAAAGCGGCACAGGTCAAATGTCCACGTGTTTCCGGAAGCATACCTTTTTATCCGCGAGAATTTTCAACTTGGTGAGCAACAATGGTAAATGATCAGGATACATAGAGATGAGCTCGGAATATAAACGATGAACAGCCAGTGGATCCTTCAGCTTAGTGAGCCACGAGATTTGTGCGTCACGAATCGCTTCTGAAATACAAATAATACGGATGGCGGTCAAGAAAATTGTGAGACTGACTTCAGACTTTGCCACGGTGGCCTGCCAACGCTATCGTTGCAGTCGCACTCCATAACTACTATCGGGTTGTCCGGAAAGTTCTCAGCGTTTTGTGTTACTATTTTTTGTACATTCACTGCTGATTAAAACTCATTCTCCCTTGCGTCTCAGTAGTACATCCTGAAGAGAATTTTTGCGCTATCTGATGGTATAATTGCCGTTTCACCATTGCTTGATAAACCCCCTTTTCCCAAGACTTTTTGAAGCATGTCAAAAGAGCAACTTCGGACGATATTTTTCTTCAACTAAAATTGGGTCAATCCGCAGTCGAGACAGCTCGACAAATTAACCAGGTGTGGGGGCCCAATAGTGTTGGAGAAAGCACCGTGCGACAATGGTTCGACAAATTTCGTTCTGGAGATTTCAGCCTTGAAGATGAACCTCGTAGCGGTCGACCTAAAGCAATACCTGACGAGGATTTGAAGGCGTTTGTGGAGGCTGACCCATCCCAAACAGTTCGAGAGATTGCAGAAAAGCTAGGCGTTGGCAAATCCACTGTTGCGGATGGTCTGAAACGCATTGGGAAGGTGAAAAAACTCGACAAGTGGGTGCCCCACAATTTGAGTGACCGGCAGAAATTGGCACGTCTCGAGGTTTCTTCTTCACTGCTTTTGCGCAACAGAAACGACCCGTTTTTGGACCGAATTGTCACCTGTGATGAAAAGTGGATCATGTATGATAACAGGAGACGTTCCGGACAGTGGTTGGATGCCGACGAACCACCGAGGCAATTTCCAAAGCCGAATCCTCACGAAAAAAGATTATGGTCACAGTGTGGTGGTCATCGGCTGGTGTGATCCACTATAACTTTTTGTCACCAGGCAGCGAGTCCTACTGTGAAGAAATCGACGAAATGTACCGAAAATTGCGTCAGCTGCAGCCAGCACTTGTCAACAGAAAGGGTCCGATTCTTTTGCATGACAACGCCCGCCCACACGTTTCACAAATCACTATCCATAAATTGAACGAATTGGGGGTTGAAGTTCTACCTCACCCGCCATATTCTCCAGACCTTTCACCAACCGACTATCACCTTTTCAAACATTTTCAGAACTTCCTTGCTGGAAAATACTTCATCAATCAGGACCAGGCAGCAGTTTTTTCTTTGATGGGATTTATCGACTGGTGTCACATTGGCAAAAGTGTGCTGATTCGAACGGTGCTTATTTCGATTAAATCCGATGAGTATTAAGAAAGTTATGATCGTTTAAAGTGAAACAAAACGCTGAGAACTTTCCGGACAACCTAATAATTGATGGACCGCTTCAAGTCTTTACCTATTTACCTTCACCTAACTCGTCCTTTCACAGTAGTTTCTGTTCTTGATTTCAGAGTTGTTAATCCCAAGATTTGTTATGGCTCACAGTCTATATGGATTATAATAACTGTTCTGACGGATCATAAGCCGCTGACGGCTTTGTTCAAGCGTAGTAACGTGGCGGCAAGGATTTTGCTATGTTCGCTGGAGAACCAGCGGTATAATCTCGTAATCAAGCACGTGAAGGGAAAGTCAAATGTGGTGGATGCGCTGAGTAGTGAGGCAGTAGAGTGGAATGACGCCAACGCGAAGAACGCGCGAAGAAAAGACAAGGTGGATAAAGGAATCAGAGCAGGAGCATAGTTTCTTATCTATTCTGGATCTTAATCGTTTTCTGCCGACAGACATGACGGAACCTGCACCTGTTGCAGATTTTTTAACAGAAGCAGGAGAACTGAATTTGCTCCATACACACAAGAATCAACGAGAACGGGGTCTCTAGAAATGCCGTTGTGGAAATTCCCATGGGGCATATGCAGCAACGCTTGTCGGACATTTTAGCGCGCGTAATTCGCTGAACAAGCCTGAAAAAAGAGGTATATTGACCCACTGTGGTGCATGGCATCCGCAAATGGGCAAGAGAATGCCACATTCACAATCCGCAAAATCAAAAACAGTATCTCTACTCGACCAGATAGCTACATCGAGACTTTATAAAAACGTAAATGTAAACGTTTTAAAAATAGGTATCATGTTCACCGGGAATCACTCAGCTATAATGGTGCTTGATCACTTCACGAAATTCGCACCAGCGCCTCCTGTTCCGGACAAATCGGCTCAAATTGCAGCCAAAGTGAAGTTCAACGGGTTTCAAACGCTGACGAGTGCCGTTGGCCAAAAGTTATCATTTCGGACAAGAATAGTTAATTTGAGAAGAAAATAATGGGTGCGGACAAGGACAACTAAAATTAAATGCACACAACTGAAGGTTCCTACCGCGAGGAATCTGGAAAAATGAGCGACTGAAGAGACAATCGTCAATTCAATGTTCTGGCGTACCTTACTTGTTGGCATGGAATGTTATAAAAAATCACCCTTTCGAATGTTTGCGTACACCAAGTAAAACCACATCAGTCCACAGATGAAAGCCCGATTGCACGGTATAGACCACATAGTTCATCAGGAGCAATCCCGAACAGGGGTGTCGCATGGTGCCCGATGGACGAAATTAGAGAGGATTACAAGGCTCAGTTGATTCGAGGGAGTGGCGGGTTCCACGGGCGACTCAGAGATTATAACCAGAGGATAGGCGAGAAAATGAAAACGGAGCCGGACAAACGGAATATAATGCACACCATCAAGCTGAAAGTAGGGCACAGGTGCACATGGCGTCCCCTAATGGAAAAGCCACGAACGCTCATCTAATATTAATTTATAAATGCAATGGAAGGCAGGGCCTTTCGCATGTTAGCGATGGGGACCATCGGTCGATTCAGCATCCATGAGTAGAAGAGAAGTAGCCCGTTTGAGTTCAATATAACATGCTCAAAATTGTCCCATCTCATACCTCGGGCGAAACTACTGATACAGCAGCCTCTAGAGCTGCAGAAGGAAGAACAGCAAAGATCAAAGTTATTAATATGACGAGTTTAATTTTCAGTGGTATGCAGATGCGACCGAAGAGCGACAAAGGACACCTGCAAAACCTGAGCAAAATGGTTGCTTCGACGAGCTCAGTCCTGATAACTTGGAAGTGGCGCGACTCAGACGCGTAAGACCTTCTTATACAGACCGTTGCACAGAATTCCGAGAGGATCATTTCATGAAATGAAGGCGCGTAAACAATTATAAGCGAGAGAAAGGCCAAAATCTTTTCTACAGCTTCTACACCGAGTATGGCCGCTTTATCCAAAAGCATTGATAATTTTGGCCAGAGTGAATATTACCGAAGAAAACGGCGTGTGTTACATGGAACATACCGGTCACTGCAATCAGTCATTCAGGCATTCTGAGAATGTTACATAACCCCGAGCCACACTTCGGTATCAAGAAACGGTGACACCAACGGATAGCGCTGCGACCCACAGGGCCATCATTGCTCACGAGAGCGGCATGCAGAATTTTTCAGAAATGCTCTCAAGTTCGCCGGACTTCAATCCTCTTTTTTTTTCTCAACGAAGAATCAGTTCAAGGCAAGAACAAATCCTCACAGACCTCGACTAGCTGAAGGCAGCTCTGTGGAAGGCACGGGGTGAATTGGACAGCACCTACCCATACAGTCAGCGCGCTTTCCGAGCGTTACTGAGACGCGTTGAAGAAAATAGAGATGCTTTTCGAGGACTTCGGTGTTTCTTGCTCATTTTTCAGCAAATAAGTCAGCGACAACTGTTTTGTGTGCTCCAGCCACGTTACACGACATCAGCTGGTTTCCATACTCTTGCCCCACCCTGCACAATGCATAACTGATTCCTAGCTCAGCAGTACTTGCGAAATAATTTCTCTTACGACATACACGAATCTAAACCTTTTACAAGAAATAAGACATGCAAGAACTAATGAATAAATACAGGGGGAAGCAAAAAAAGGACATTTTGACCAGTCACATATCAGTAAGTTTGCGCACCCCAGGTAGAAGACGTGGATACGAGATCAGTTAAGTTTACCAGGGCGGAATATACCTAAGATGATGAGAGGCAGGAGCAAGCTCTCTTTCATCACCTTCATGTACACCAAAATATGAAGCCATCTCCAATCGCAGCCGGACTGGAGAAGGCCTATGGAATTCACGTCACTCCAAACAGCTGCGAAACTTCTTGTATGGAGTTACAGTTTGGACAATCTTTATCGCAGTCGCCAAGGCGCGGGTTGATGGTATAGACCGGAAGTTCCTGGAATGAGAAGACCGATATTTTCTTCGTGAACCTACCGAAAGTAATTGTGGACCGAAAGTAGACTATTACATCGAGCAGCTCGAGGAGAATATCCTGCCTTCATGTCGTCGCCCGTACCGTCTTGGAAACTTCGTACTGCTACAGGCATTGGGTGCCAGCACATGGAATCGAAGGACGCTGGGAAAACTCTCGCCTACTTACAAGCGAGGGCTGGTAAGTCGAAGTGGCCATTTGAAATGAAATGTATACCGGCTGAAAGGTCTTTGGACGGGAATTACGAAACCGTCTTCCATATCTGCTGCGGACCTCCAGAAAGAAGTTACGGAGCTTTTTAGGGGGAGAATACTCGCATTCAGTACGAATCAGCGGCGTAAGGCTGAACCGATCGTAACGGCGTGGTCGAGTGGATACGTTGTAGGGCTCACGAATGCGTGGTCTTGTAGGGCTCACGAATGCGTGGTCGAGGGTTTGGATCCTTGATGCGTGTGCTCTTTTGCATTTTTTCGAAAGTGGTCCCTGTGCACTTCAAAGCTATTTTGCATAACTCTTGTGCCTGATAATGTCGTGACGTAATGTTTCTGAACTGATGGAGCCATTGAACATTTCTGTCCGA